AAACTCCATTTGTTTGTCTTTGATCAACACCAAATCTATTTGTGTTTTGTTTCAAATGTTAAACTCATGGAAAACCTGAAATTTTCCATGCATAAACAGTTATTACACTGCTTGTAAATGTATTAATATATTTGAGGATTATTATGTGTGATGATTTTGATGATGGGATTTGACAAAATGTAGTTTGCTGCATGTTTCTAAATTATTTAATGTGTTATGTTTTAATCATGCAAATCAATTTGAACTGCCTTGTTGCTGAAATGTGCTATACCAATAAACCTGACTAGTTTGTGAATCAGAGAGCAGCTCTACTGTCGCAGAACTTCCTGGTTGGCATTTTTACATTTGTGTTTAGTCAAACTAAATTTGACAGTGAAGGATTCACCACATGCTTCACAAGAATAAGGCTTCTCACCTGTATGAATCCTCATGTGCACCGTCAGATTATTCTGCTTGGTAAAACCTTTTCCACAGGTCTGACATGAGAATGGCTTCTCTCCCGTGTGAGTTCTAATATGACGAGCCAGATCGCTGCTCTGTCTGAAAGATTTGTCACACAAGTCACAAGAATATGGTTTCTCCCCTGTGTGGGTTCGGAGGTGGCGGGCCAGATCGCTGCTTTGAATAAAAGATTTATCACACAGGTCACATGGAAAAGGCTTCTCACCTGTGTGGGTCCTCATGTGATAACTCAGGGTAGTTTTCTGGATAAAACCTTTACCACAGAACAGACAGGTGAAGGGCTTCTCACCGGTGTGGGTTCTCATGTGGACTGTCAGGTCAGACTGAGCAGTGAAACCTTTTCCACAAGTCAGGCATGGGAAAGGCTTTTCAGGTGTGTGAGTTCTCATGTGCTTGATCAAATGACTGCTGTCAGTCAAAGATTTACCGCACACTTCACATGAGTAGGGCTTCTCACCAGTGTGTGTTCTCAGGTGAATGGTGAGATGACTGTTGTCGTTAAAGGATTTACCACAAAACTGACAGGAATATGGTGTCTCACCTGTGTGAGTTCTGATGTGACGGGCCAAATCATTGCTCCTCCTGAAAGATTTATCACACAGCTCACAAGGGTATGGCTTCTCACCTGTGTGAGTTCTCATGTGGACGGTCAAGTTGTACTGCTTGTTAAAACCTCTTCCACAAGTCAGGCAGGAGAAAGGTTTCTCATCTGCTTGAGGTATCATGTGATTAGCCAACTCAGTATGCTGCATGAAAGAATTACCACAAAACTCAAAAACATTTGGCTGTTCTATGTCCTGATTACCGCAGGACTCCTCCTGCTCCTCTTTAATCTCTACAGGCTCTGGTTCCTCCTTCGTCTCCATCATCTGCTGCTGCTCTGGTCCGTCTTGAAATGCTTCCCTATAAGCAGGATTCTCCATGGAGATGGAGGTTTCAGCCTCTTGCTTCACCAAAACCTGGCCTTCATCTTGAAAGATGCACAACTCAATCTGTTCTTCTTTAATCACTCGAGGTTCTGGGTCTTCTGTCTCAGTCGTCTGGGGTTCCGGTTCATCTTTTATTTCCACACCGTTTGGTAAATCATGGTCAAGAGGAGAGCTTGACCTTTGTTTGCTAATGAGAATGTGATCAGCATCAACCTCCCAAGTAATAACCGACATGATGCTGTGGAAGACCTGAGGAAGTCAAAAACAGGAGATTAGTAACTATTTAATAAACAACATTTATGTCTTTTTTTTTTTTTTTTTACAAAAGAGGAAGACAATGTTGGATGAAAAAGAACTAATCCAACCAGCACTTCCTAATAGTGCACTAAGCTGCAGAAACAACAAAACAAAATGGCAGGATGAGAAAAACGCAAGAGATATGATCAAATAAACTCTACAATTCTGTAACATAACTTAATACACAATTAAGCTTTTCCAATTGTGAAATTGTAATTCACAATTATGCTTTCATTTTGGATTATGTTCCTAAATTTGTTGAACTAAAATGTGACATGTGAAAAATATTTCATAATTTAACTGTAGAGGTAGACCTAGGACGTAATCCTACCAACTCACACACCCCACACTTTAAAAACTTTGCAGTGCAACTGCAAGAGTGTTTGGACTCTATTTTTTGTCATGATTAACTTTAGAAAATGTTATTAACAAGCTGATTCCGCACTGACATCTTAGTTATGAAAACCATTTGTGAAAAATAGCTGATTAATTTTGTATTCCTGAGGACAGCATGCCACTCCCAAAATGGCGGACCTAAAGACGTTACGTTCTGGCGGGGCAAAGCCTCCAGATGGGGAGTTTTGAGCTTCATCTGAAGTTGATCTCCAGTCACAACAAAATACGAGTTTATTTGTAACAGCAGTAGATCTCAATAAAAAAGCTAAAAATTAATTGGAAACGTTTAGTTCGGCTGCTTCTGTATTAAAAGTTGTTGAACTGCCTGTTTTCTCCCCGCTTACTCTCGTATGTAAAATATAAAAGGGTGATTAACAACAACTTGATTAATTAACTGACTCATCTTTCTACCTCAGCTAGATTTAGATCATATTCTTTCCATTCCCGTTAGTTCATTCAGAACCGTGCAGTTAACATACCTGCAGGTTGAGATAATTTTGGTTTTCCAGCTGGTATCAGCAACACGGCTGACGTTGAAATCAAGATGTAATTACCTCAGATACTGAAATATTCAGTTCACACAGCAGAAACCGTCTCACAAACGACGATAAACTGAAGGAAGCCTGAAAGCTAACGCTGCTAGCGCCCTGTTGTTTACTTCCGCCGGATGTCTCACACGAAGATTTACACCAGAAACAGGGTTTGTGCTTAAGGTTCCGTCTTCAAACGTAAACGTTTGTTTTTCTACTGAAGGTTTTCATTTAATTTTGCCTGGGTTTTTTCTGCTTATTTTGATTTCCAATACAGAGGACACTTGGCTCAGTCCTGAAACACTTCAGTCATACTGCTTATGTCAAGGAGACTTTTGATTTTAAAACATTTAAAGTGTACCTTCTCTATTTGGTTAGAAAGAATAAACTTAAAATAGGCTTTCTCCAGTCAACAAGTACAAAAATGATTTAAATTCAGATTAAATATTTTTTTTTACAGTTAATATTAATTGAAGGCAACTCAACCAATTGTCTTTAGCCTTGATTTAAAGGAACTCCTTGTTTCACCTGTTTTGAAGGGTTTTAAAAATGTATTTCAAACAGAAGCATAAAAACTGAATGTTGCTTCTCTCCATGTTTGGCTCGATTCTGGGGATGCAGAGTGGACCAGAACCAGAAAACCCGTGTGTTCTAGAGTGTTGATGGAACAGAGAAGAATCAACAGAATAACGGTTTGGATTCATTAATGCTCTTCAAACACGAACAAGATGCATCATGTGCAAATAGCTTACAAATGTTAGAATAATTTTGGTATCATGTTATAATACTCAATATATCTTATAAAAGATAAGGAACATGGACAAAAATACTTTCCTCCTTCAATTTTTCAGCATTAAATGCCACATAAACCTTTTAAAGTATAATTAACAGGAATACAAACTGTTGGAAATCCTAAAGCAACTTGTGCAAAACGAAAGGAACCGAGGCAAACCAAAACAAAATTACTTTTTTATGTAGACATACTTAGACGTTTGGCCATTTCAGCATCATTTAGAAAAGTGGGGATTTCTCTTCTTTTTGTAAAGAACTTAGTTTTTTCACACATCAAAAACGGCAATAAGCTGCTTTGTTTGACTCCAACTGGAGCCTAATTGCAGTGCAAAAACAGACTACATACAAAGTGTAGCCCTCACCCAGCAAAGACGGCGGCAAGAGGTTCAAAACAGACGAGTAATTCAAGCCCTGGCCCCCGCTGTACCCGCTCTTTCCGCTATGCATAAAAAAGTTTCAGGTGTTAGCATTTGTATTGTCAATGAGTGTTTGTATCACAGACGCGCTGAAAAACAAATGAAACAGAGACAGTGGGGTCCAGGATGTTTCCTGGTTTAAGGTGGGGCCTGGTTTTCTTGTTGGTGTGAAATTGAAGTGGTGGTGATGATCCTCCTCATCTTTGCCATGCCAAACTGTTGCACCCTCACCAGCAGCCTTTTTGGATTTTCTTCTCTCCTGTTGGGGTTCCTTATTAGAGCTCAATTAAATATGAATGCTTGTTAAAGAACCAAGACTACATTCAAACATGAGTAATTTTCCAAAAGTAAATAGATTACGATTACGTACCCCTCAGGATCGTGTGAGGCAGAGATTAAGACTCTTCTTGGTGGCTCGTAGTCTCTGTCATCACCTTTGTCGTCATTAAGCATAAAAGAATAATATTTATTGTCAAAATAACATTAAATCATGCCATTATTCCCCAAATGAGGAGGAGTATGGCCTGTATGTCTGTTATTTTATTTGACTCGGAACAAGACTTAAAACAATGTTAAGGGTCCCACACAGTGCACTCAGTCGTACTGTGTGCACTCCATGAGCCGCGCCTGCTGTCCGCGGACGACAGACTTCATATTCAAGCGTACTGATTGCCTAAAATTCTCTATAATAAATAAATAAATACATTTATTGAGAGAAACCATGAAGCGCCGTGTGAAAAACGCTCATCTTACCTCTCAGGTTAAAGCCCTTCAAACTCCAAATCTTCACTATGAGCTGGAAAAATGAGTTCTTCATCTTCAGACGAGGAATCCTGGACACACACTTCTGTCCCAGAGTCTTCACGGATCATCTGAAATGCTTCCTCCACACTATTAAACTTTTTGTTGGATTCAGTTGAGATCAAAAACAAACAGCCTAAGAGGTGAAACAAACAGAGCACAAGTGTGAACCTGGTGTGTTATGGCATAGAGCCGGAAAAACTCAGGTTCTGATTGGTCGAATTTTAGAAATGTATCCCTTTTTATTGTTAGAGTAACTAGAATAAAACTGAATTCAATACATTCATGGCAATGGAACCAATCTCAAACTGAAAACTTTGTAACTGGGTCAGAAACATGGAAATTGTCAGAGGATTTGCTAACAAAGCTAAGAGATATAACTGTTCTGCAAATACAGCTTTATTCTGGTTGATTTAGGTTTTAGGTGAAAAGATGCAAATGTTTATAGATTATTTTAAACATAAATGATACTTCCGGTCCTTTGTTGCTGGTTGAATACAAGGTTCACATGAAGCCTCAACACTCAAGTCAGGTTTTTTAATCGATGGGAAAGAAGTGGTGCAATGGAAACAAGGCAGATCCCTCAATCAAAACAGTTGGAGGAAAGTTTTAAAACCTGTAGGAAGGAATCACAGTTTACCACTGAGGAGGAAAATGACTGGAAAGATTTACCACGCAGTTTACAAAGATACGGCTTCTTGCTTGTGTGAATTTTTATGTTATGATCCAAATGAGCCATTTCATTAAAGCATTTACCAGGCAAGCTACAGCAAAAAGGCCTCTCACCAGAATGAGTTAAGTGGTCGGTCAAATTCCTGGGCAAGCGGTAGCATTTACCACATATTTCACAAGGGTGGGACTGGTTCTATGAGTTTTGAAATCTCTACCTTGTTAATGGGCGAGCTGATGTCCCCTGGTTTCGGCCTCCCGTTTGCTCCGGAGGCTTTCGGCCTCCCGTTTGCTCCGGAGGCTTTCGGCCCCCCGTTTGCTCCGGAGGCTTTCGGCCCCCCGTTTGCTCCGGAGGCTTTCGGCCTCTTGTTTCCACTGGTTCCTCTTCGCCTGCTGTTGTTTCTTTTCTTAGGTTTGTTGCCTTGTGCAGAGAGGAGCTTTTTTGGTTTGTGTTTCCTCTTGACTTTGTGTTTACAACCGTTGGGGTTTGAGCATTACTGGAAAGACCTTTCTGTTTCTTCAATACAGGTTCTGGCTTCCGTTTCATCTGCACAGGTTCTAGTTCCAGTTTAATTAGCGAAGGTTCTGGTTCCTCCTTCATATGTTCTGGTTCTGGCTCCTGTTTTATCTGCACTGGGTCTGGTTCCTTCTTCATTGCTCCAATCTGCCGTTGTTCTGGTACATTGTGGAATATTTTTTCATAAGCAGAAATCTCCATCTGACCTTCATCCTCGTAGACCCACCGTTCAACATGTTCGTCTTTGGTTGGTTCTTGTTCCTCGTTAGCCTCAGTAATCTTCTTCGATTCTAGTTCCTCTTTTATTTTAACATTTGGCATCTTGTGATCAAGAAAGGAGCTCCTCTTTGAAGTTACGGCAGCTTGATTGGCAGACATACTGCTGTGGAAGACCTGATAGAATAAAAAACAGCACAACATTAATGACATTTTTATATCATAAAAACATTTGCAGCCAATTTTTAATCACAATCTGAAATTTCTGACTCTTGTTCAGGTCGTATTTCTGCCTTACAGTTAATGTACCTGTAGTCGTCTTCTTTTGATTTTATTGGTGGTTGGCAGCCCAATTTAAATGAATCACTGCTACCACTAGACAGGTAAGTGGATCTGGGGAGTAGACATACCTGCTGTCTTTATGTTTTCCAAACTGAAGATATTGTTACTACAAACACAGTCTTTTAACTGAAGATATACAGAAGATCGCCAAGAACAGTGGTCCCCAAAGTGGGTCTGGAGGGCCGGGATCCTGCATGTTTTAGTTCTCTCCCTGGTTTAACGCACCTGGATCAAGTGATGGCTCATTAGAGGCCTAAGAGGAACACCGACATGCTGAACAGGTTGTTACCACCAGGGAGAGAACAAAACATGCAGGAAGTCGGCCCTCCAGGACCCACTTTGGACACCACTGGCCTTATTGTTTACGTCTGCCGGAAGTCCCGCCCCCTTTGCGTTCCGCCACCGGATATGATGCAATTACCTTCAATATCGTGGAGTACAATGCAAATTCTGTTTTATTAAGACATACAAACAAAGTAATAGCACATTTTAAAAATGTAATAATTCTGGAATAAAAAAGATAGGCAAGAGAAACACTTGTTCAGTTACCTTTTTCTCAGATAATACTAGTTTTAACCAATGCACCAGAGAGAGACAGCATTTTATGGGAAATTGAAACTTTGTATACAAGAAAAAATTAATTTAAAATAGTTTCTACTCCATGAATTTATGAATGATATTTTTATGTTTGTATATTATTTAAGCCGTAGAGATAGTACTGAAATATAATTTTTTTATGACTCCTTTTCACTCACACTTCAGTAAAAAATAAGCTGAAGTGCGACTATACTATGAAAACATCTTTTGATTTATACATCTGTCGAACCCGACAGGATCGACAGACTTACTCTTTTCCGGGAGTGTCTGGGAACCGGCGCTTCTCTGTGCCGTTTGGTTCTGCTGGTACTGTTTTCAGATGTGGGTATCATCTCAAAAATCGAAGGGACAGCAGTCGGTTTAACAACCCGTTTGTAGCGTACTTCCAAACCGAAAGACTCCTTTAATCCGGGCGCCTCCTCGAAGCAGTCTGCAGTGAAATGCTCGCTACAGAGAACAGAAGACGGAGTGGGAAGCCAGCTGCCTCTGGTTCTCTGAACCTGCTGCGTCCATTGGTCTCGAAGCTTTTCATCTTTTGGGAATGAGAACAGTGAAATGTGTTCATTTGGGTAATTACAACACCCAGCCGCTACGCAACGTTTCGGCATTTTTGACAGTATGCTACATGAAGTGGCGGACACTGAAGAAAAGCACACCGTCACATCCTGTAAAGGGCTGCGCACCACCGGATATGACGTTAGTCCAACGCGGATCTGAGCCAAACGGCACTTTCATTCCAAGTGTTCTAAAGCAGGGAGTCAAACTCCAGACCTCTGCTGTCCTGCAGATTTTAGATGTGCCACAGGTACAAAACACTGGAATGAAACGGCTTAATTACCTCCTTCCTGTGTGGATAAATTCTCCAGCGCCTTGATAATGACCTAATTATTCTATTCAGGTGGTGCAGCAGAGGCACATCTAAAAGTTACAGGACACCTCTGTTCTAAAGCTTATTTTTATTTTTAATAGATATAGTCTATCAGGGTTTTGCCACTCTGTGATTTTCTTTAAAAGCAGCTCAATCTGTATCTTTCTAAACGTTTTTTTATCTGTACATTAGTTACTCTGTACAGAACCACTTTTATCAGTCAAAGATGGTTTTTCTCTTACCAAAAATAACTCCAGAGGAAAAGTTGGAAACAACGCAGCGTCCAGTAAACATCCAGTGATCTGTGTTAAGTCTCTTCTTTGTTTCATCTAATCTGTTGTATATTTTTCTAAAAATCATTCACATCACATAGATATTCAAAGGCTCAAAGCAGAAAGATATTTGTTTATATAGTTAAATACCCTAAATGATTTTTATTCCAGTAAGTATGGCAGCTTCTCTGCTCATTTCACTTGATTCACTGCCCATTGTTGACTCACCAAAGATGGCGGACGCCCTGACGTGTTTGTGCAGCTCAGTCAGTGCAGATGTTAAAGACCAACTTCACTTTTCTACCTCTAGAAAAGCCTCGAAACAATCCAGCTGCAGTGTTTCAAGTACAATTTATCCTTCTACACAGAAAGAAATGCAGTTGGTGTTTGTGCTCGGAGAGTTAGAGAGTTAGCTTCTGGGTTAGTTCAGAAGATGAATTGCATAACTCAAGCTGTACTTTCTGCCGAAGCTACAAAAATGCAGTGCTAAACAGAGTCTGTAAATACTTTAATTGAGCGCGGTATAGGGAAATATTAACACCCAGAAAATAAAGACCAATTTTATCTTTCCTTTCCTTTTTCGTCCTTCTAGGCAACCAGCTAAAGCACGCTACCGCCACCTATTGGAGCGGAGTTTCTTCTTCGTTTTTATAATAGCGGATCACAAGCAACTTCAAGGTGCATACCGCCACCTACTGTACATGAGTGTGTAGCAGCATTAATAAGTTACGTCCATTAAATTGGTTTTAAATTTTGTACCATAAATAATATTTTCCTTACTGTAGAATTTTTGTCCTTATTTCCTTCAGGTCCTTATATTCCTTTAAGACTCCATTCTTAAAGGAATATAATTGTGACGTGTATGTGTCCTTTCAGGCATATACACGTCACAATTCATCAATGCATGTTCCACATTTTCTTTTCCTCCACATCCCATTTAATCATTGTCTTTTTCTCCCAATTAAAATAATTTCATTTAGATATGTATGGCCTATTTTTAATCTAATTATTATCTCTTCCCATCTGTTTCACTCACTAACATTTTAAAACAGTTCCAGGACACATAATGTCATCAATGATGTCACAGATGCCTTTGATATTCTAGCTCTCAGTATTCTGACTGCATTCTCTCAGTTTTCTGATCTGTGTTTCATTTTGCTCTTCCTTTTCAAACAAAAAAATCTCAAAATGTTGAACCTTTTCAAAAAGAGGGAGGAATCTGCTTCCTTTGATCCTGAAGAAATGCGGAAAAGGAATAACAAGGCGGTTCAAGAACTCATCAAAATGAATGAAAAGCTTCAGAACACCAAGGACCTCCAATTTCAGAAACAAGATTGGAAAACTTTGGAGAAAGCCGAGATGAAGTTGAGCAAAGCATGTGAAAAACAGGGTGAGAATTTACATTTGGAGCTAGATATCTGGGAGGCAGAAGAAAAAAAACTGATAAATTTAGAGAGAAAAGCGTTTGAACATATGGAGACATCAAAGAGGATGAAGCAGGAATTAATTCAGAAAGAGATGTTGGAATCTCAGTGTAAAGCGTCCAAAATGGAGCAAGAAAGGCTCATAAAACTTAACACAACGTTATTGAAAAACCTTAAAGTACTGAAGGACAAACTTTCATATCAAAATGGATTGTATCATAATCACAGACAGGCTAAGAATTCAATTGAAACCTTGAGGAAGATTAAAGAAAATGTTGTGAAAGAGATGAAGAGTCATGAGGATCACTGTTGGGCTTGGAAGGTGAAAATCAGTGAAAAAGATAAAACATTGGAAAAAGTAAAAAGAAAGAATATTGAACTTTTACAAGAGCTTAATAGCATTGAACAACAATTAATTGACATGCCTGTCCTGAAATATGTCTACAAGAGTGCAAAACAAGAGAAGGAAAGGCTAAAAAAACTTAACACAAAGTTAGAAAAACATCTTCAGATCCTAACAGAAGATCTGTCCCGTCAAACTGAGCTGCTCCGCGATTACACCGAGGCTGAAAATACCGTTAAAGATCTGCAGGACATTCGAAAAAATTACCTGAGAAAGATTCAGGATCTAAAAGTGAAAGAAAAATTGGAACCTGGGACCAAATCAAAGTTTATCAATCATGAGGATGAGAAAAAGAAAAGCCACTGAACTTCCTTTGAGGGTCAATTCAATCCTCCCAAGAAAGACTTCTAACCACAAGATAAAAAAACAATCAGTGGCTAAAAGACGGTCATAAACAAAGAAGGGCAACAAATCCCTTTAGATAAAACTATCTGAAGGGAAACAAAGTTTTTATAACTGAAAGGATGGGATTCCTCCAGGTGCTCTGGTTTGTCCAAAAACAAAGTTAGATTATCTCTAGCAGTGAGCGCGTGCGTGTCTGTGCGTGTGTGTGCGTGTGTGAGACTTTGGTTGTTCGTCTTGTGTGTTTCTGTGCTTCAATCACAATATTATAGTTCAGGGTTCAAATCCAACAACTATAATAATAATAATAATAATAATAATAATAATAATAATAATAATAATAATAATAATAATAATGAGCATATATGTCGCAGTCATTCTCATGACTCCAGTGGGGTCAGAACCTCCTGACCCCACTGGGGACAAGAGTGTACAGAAAATGAATGGATGCTTTTGAAGCAAAAGGAAATATTGATAGTTTATAAATATGAAACTCCTGAAAATGTTCTGGTTTTTCTGTTGTTAAATCAGAGTTTTATTCCTACACTCAATTATGAAGCTCTTTGTTTGATTTTCTGATACTGTGGAGAGATCAGACGTTGGAGAGCTGAGGTTCGGGTGACTCAGTTGTTTTGAAAGGAAAACTATTGTGAAGATGGTTAAACTGGAAACGTCATGACTTTTCTAGCCCTTCTCTTCCTGGAATCAAAGCTTTCCTCTCCTTGCTGCTCTCATACAGCTTGAAGCTGGGAGGAGCCAACATCTGATTGGCTGCAGCTTCTCTGCACTGACCTGTGATTGGTGGATCGGAGCTCAAACCAGTTTCTGTTCTCTGGAGATGAAACTCACACAGTCACTGTGACTGAGAGGTGAAATGGCGCAGCAGGCAGTTCAGCTGAACCGAGAAACTTTCTCCTGTCCGATCTGTCTGGATCTACTGAAGGATCCGGTGACGATTCCCTGTGGACACAGCTACTGCATGAGCTGCATTAAAAGCTTCTGGGATGAGAATGAGGAGAAGAAAATCTACCACTGCCCTCAGTGCAGACAGACCTTCACACCAAGGCCTCTCCTGCAGAAGAACACCATGCTAGCAGCTTTAGTGGAGCAGCTGAAGAAGACTGGACTCCAAGCTGCTCCTGCTGATCACTGCTATGCTGGACCTGAAGACGTGGCCTGTGATTTCTGCACTGGGAGGAAACTGAAAGCCTTCAGGTCCTGTTTATTCTGTCTGGCTTCTTTCTGTGAGAAAAATCCTCACCTTCATTATGATTCAGCTACATTTAAGAAACACAAGCTGGTGGAGCCGTTCAAGAACGTTCTGGAGAATGTCTGCTCTCGTCATGATGAGTTGATGAAGATGTTCTGCCGCACTGATCAGAAGTGTATCTGTCTCATCTGTCTGATGGAGGAACATAAAGGCCATGACACAGTGTCGGCTGCAGCAGAACCAGAACCACAGAACAGAGCTGGATTCTTAAAATATACATTTGAATTCTCATTGGATCCAAACACAGCAAACAGTAATTTGGAAGTAAATGTGAAGAACAGGACAGTGACATGGACAAGGCGAAATTTATATAACTGTACAGGCAAATTTTCTGTTTGGCCTCAGGTTCTGAGCAGAGAGAGAGTGACTGGGCGTTGTTACTGGGAGGTGGAGTGGAAAGGGAGAGTTCGTGTAGCCGTCGCTTACAGCAATATCAGCAGAGCAGGAAACAAGAACGAATGTGGATTTGGATACAATGACAAATCTTGGGCACTGAGTTGTTCTGAAAGCAGTTTTAGTTTTGGTCATAACAACATCTGGACCCCCACCCCGGGTCCAGTTTCCTCCAGAGTCGGAGTGTACCTGGATGACAGAGCAGGTGTTCTGTCCTTCTACAGCGTCTCTAAAGTCATGAAGGATATGACTCTCCTCCACAGAGTCCAGACCAGATTCACTCAGCCGCTACATGCTGGGGTTTGTGTTGAAGACAGGGATTCTGAATCTTTTGCAAAGTTCTGTTAACCCAAATAGATTCCCTTTTGTCTCTCTGATAATTGATCAGGTTTATTGTTCTGATGTCTCTTCTGCCCTGATCTTTTTTATTGTTCTAGTTTATTGTAGTTTTCTGTGTTCCAGAAGCCGTAAAGTACTTCACAGCTGATGGATCTTTTCTTTCTTATGCATCTCAGAAATATGTCTCCACATGAAAATATAAACTTAATGTGTGTGTTGATGTATTTGGATGTTCTGGTTTGTAAAAGTTGATGTATAATTCATGTTTGACTGCAGCATGACTAATATCTAGTCTCCTGTGTTTAACTTGCTTGGCTTTGATAAAACTAGAGGATCCAAGAACGATTTGATGCTTAGGAACATACTATCACTGCACGCTATCTGAAAATCAAAAAGAGGAGATGTTGGTAAAATAACCACAATATAAGCTGCAATAAATCCAGTTTCCTCAGTCCTGCTCTACAGTCTGATCTTTATCATTATTTGCCCCATTGAAGGAAAATAATTTATCTGACAAATAAAATCAAATACCAAATGGAAAATAAATTTGTTTTAAGCAGCATAACAGGCACTAGTTTAATGTAGGGAAACAAGCATGTCGCTGGTGAGAAATACTCACTAATTAAATAAGTGTCATTTAGCACATTATAAAATTTAAATTGCTGCTTGTCTGGCTAAACAAACTAATAACGTGCGTCTGGTCGGCCTCCAGAGGAACCTTAGAGGCCAAAATAACTGAGATTAGTTCTACTTTTCTCCTGAAATGTGTTTGTAAGTTGGAGATTAAATAAATTAATATCTTTTGCAGACAGATGAAGAAAAAAATATTAAATTCCCAATAAATAAAAATAAAGAATTTATGTTCATGTGTTGTGTCCACTGGATTGAGTGAAATGCAGCAGGTGTGTGTGTGTGTGTGTGTGTGTGCGTGTGTGTTTTGTTTTATTTTGGACAATTTTTAATGGAATATTATTTTTAATAAAAATAAAGCTGGTCCTGGACCAGATACTTTCAGCTCCAAGCTGATTGGACAACCCCTCCGATTCTAAAACCTGATTGCTTTCCCAGTCCTTGATCTCTGCAAAGGGAGAAATCAGAGTGCAGGCAAAATGCTACATTTCTCATTTATTTATAGGAATTGCAGCACATATATTGTGTCTCAAAGAGATCAGTTTGAAATCTGGTAACAAAGCACAAACAGTTCAGGCTCATGAAATTCAACAAAGGCTGCATTCACACAGCAGGCCTTTGTGCTCAATTCAACATTTTGCTGAAATATGATTTTTTGTTTTTGCCTGGTCGTTTATGCTGCTAATTTAACGGCAGCGAGGCTTCATTGTGGACAGTTAAAATGTGACCTGACCTTTCAGGCTGCAGATGCTTTGAAAACAATCGGACTCGTACCAGAATGGCTCAGATCATGTTGAATGAAGAGTGAAGAGTCTTTAGGAAACATGAAGCTGATGTTTAGTCAAACACATCTGGAAGCAGAGTCATGACTTCAATAAGTATGCTGAAAAAAACATGAATTATTTCTTCTAACAACAAAGAAATGACATAACATCAGCATCTGAGAAGACTAGAAAAATCCCAGATTCTACAGTAAATCTTCCTCTGGATATAATTTGTCCAGCAGATGGCAGCAGCACTCCAAGCACAGAGTGTTTTATTCATTATGCTGATGTTTGCAGGTATTCTAGGAATTAACTGCAGACATGTTTGGTCAGTTTACGTCTTGATGTGAAAGCCTCACCACACGACTGGCAGGAAAACGGCTTCTCACGTTTGTGGGTCTTCATGTGCACCGTCAGGGTGTATCTTTTAGCAAAACTTTTTCCACATGCAGGACATGAGTAGGGCTTCTCGCCTGTGTGGGTTCGGATGTGGTTGATCAGCACAGTGTTGTCAGAGAAGGATTTACCACAGTCATCACAAGAAAACGGCTTCTCGCCTGTGTGGGTTCTCATGTGAATCGTCAGATTACGCTTCCGGGTGAAACTTTTTCCACAGGTCAAACACAGATGAGGCTTCTCACCTGTGTGAACTCTCAGGTGTTCATTTAAACTGCCTCTCACCCTGAAGCATTTTCCGCAGGTCGGGCATGAGAACGGCTTTTCGCCCGTGTGAATCCTCATGTGACGAGCCAGATCATAGCCGAGCCTGAAGGCCGAGCCGCAGACCGTACAGGCATACGGCTTCTCCTCTGTGTGAGCTCTCACATGGACTTTAAAGGTGGTCTTTCTGATGAATCGCTCTCCACAAATCTGACATGAAAACGGCTTCTCCCCTGTGTGGGTTCTCACATGGATGGTCATGTCAAAGCGCCTATAGAAGCATTTTCCACAAGTGGGACAGGAAAAGGGCTTCTCGCCTGTGTGGGTTCTAGTGTGACTGTCCCACTGACTGCTGGTTCTGAAGGATTTATCACAGAATTCACATGGGTATGGTTTCTCACCCGTATGAATCCTTACATGTTTAGTCAGGTTATTCTGCTTAATAAAATCTCTTCCACAGGTCACACATTTGAATGGTTTCCCACCTGTGTGCGTTCTCAGGTGAGCAGTCAGGTACCTGAGCTGAGTGAAACTTTTCCCACACATTTCACAAGTGGGCAACTTTTTTCTTTGTGTCTTTGATTTTGACTTGTCCACATCGTCCCTGTGATTTCTGGTGTCCTGATGTCTCCTCTCTGGCTTCAGATCTTTTTCTCCACTTGATCCGGAGTCTTTCTGGTTGCTTCCTTGCTGCTGTTGGTTCTTGCTTGGTTCACCGTTGTCTTTTTGCTCACAAGTAGGAGACACCATGAAGGTCTCAGCCTCCTGCTTCACTACAAGCTGATCTTCAGTCTGATCACTGCAGAGCTCCTCTTTAACCTCTACCGGTTCTGGTTCCTCTTTAGTCTCTGTCGTCTGCTGGAGCTCTGATTCATGTGCAGGATTCACCATGAAGCTGCTGGCTTCCTGCTTCACCACCAATGGTCCTTCATCCTTACAGATGGACAACTCAACATGTTCCTCTTTAACTGGTTGAGATTCTGTTTCTTCTTTTATCCCCGTCACCGGCTGGGGTTCTGCTTCCTGCTGTTGCTCTTTCATCTCTGTGGTTGTTGGTTCTTTGAGGTCAACACTGGAGCTGCTCCAAAGTTGACATGATGCGGTGGAAGGCCTGAGAGCAGAAGAACGAACAGCTTTAATGTGAAGCTTGGAGGAAGTGCTCAACATTAACTCAACTAAGTGACACAATATGACCGACTTTACGCTTTAAAACCAATAAAGATAAAAGTTAGTCAAACACTAACTTTGACAATGTTGCTGTACTTTTATTTTTCACCTCTGATGATCTGTGAAAAGGGCTTTAAAGGAGAACTGGAGTGTTTTAAGCTAACATCAGGTGAAGGAAAATCATTAAAGCACCTGCATGTTGATTTTCTGTACATTTGTATATCAGTCTGAAAGCCTTCCAGCATACCTTCATATACAATAAAAATAATTTTCCTTCTATTTCCACTCATCGACCAGCGGACAGTAGTTTGGTTCTAGTGGCTCGCTGAGGCACAGTGTGTGTCATGAACCCGGGTCAGGCAGACTGAGTGGACAGTAACCCCAGAACCACCACACTGTGGAAACAGGATTATTTTACAGTCAGAGAAAGTGTTATGGAAGTGGTTCAGAATAAATTATATTCATACAAAATCAATTTCTTGAGATTTGATTTCAGCTCTCCTTTAAGCTAAAACTACGTTTTAAAACTGTTCAAAGATAAAAGATATTTTTAGTAGTAGAAAGCTGATTGGAATATTGGTTAAGTTATCCTCAGACGAGAATTATAGATCTAATAAAGCAGCAAAGTTAAACTTATTTATTCCTAAAAGTTTTTTTTAGTAAATGTAACTACTGCCCACCTCTGGACCTGGTTGACAGATCGATGCTCAAACTTGATATTTCACTCTCCAAATGTTGACTAGACTGAAATCAACCAGATTGACTTTTTAAAGACTCTGATTAATATTAAGTTTCATTATTTGATTCTGTGGAGAGATTAGATCTTAGAGGTCTGAGGTTTTGGTGATTCTGTTGTTCTGAACTGAAAACCGTTGTGAAGATGGCTCAAATTTAAACTTTATTACTTTAAGAGCTGATCTCCTGCTGGTATCAGACTGGAAGCTGAATGGAGCCAACATCTGCTGACTGGCTGCAGCCAGTGTTGTAGTACTCAAGATCGGTCTTGGTCTCGAGACCATTTTTTGATGGTCTCGGTCTCGTCTCGGTCGCTGAGGACTCAGCATTTTATTTCAAGACCAGTCGAAACCGCAACTGTGAAAATATCACTAAACGTGCAGCATACTGTCCAGTTTATTTGTTAACATCTTTGTTTTCAGTGGATGCAAAACGCATCGATTAAAATCCAAGCAATAACCGTGTTTCTGTTTCTCCTCCCTCCCCCCCATCTTTCACTCACACATGGCGCTCTGAGACATGTGCAGTGGTTTTCTCTGAGCGGCAGAAGATGTCTGTCTATTCGTCAGTAATAGAATAGCTCTGCATAAATCATAAGAAATCCGATGGCCACAGCTAACTCAGCAGTGCTTCGCTGTCACAGACGGTGGGGACAACGTCTAACTTTTTTCGTCACTTAGAAAAGAAGCTAAAAGAAGGTAAGCTCCGTTAACGTGATGTTAGCAAAGCTAGCTGTACAGAGACACATAAGCATTGTGATGAAAAATGTTGTCACTCACTGTCTGAGTTATTGTGTGGAGGTGTAGACTGACTTGTCGCATATATGGGACAACGCTATGTCCAAAAGTCTGTAATATAGTGAGGTGACATTTAGAAACAGTCGATTCTTCTCCACGGCTCTTTACTTATTAGATAGGACTGGAGTGTCACTCACTGAGAGCCGTTGTTCTATCAGATTACCATACACTGTCAGAGTAGCATACATGCAGTGAGTACCATGCCTGCGCA